AAGTCTGAATTCATTCTTCAGAGTTAGCTCACCCGAACTCTGAAGTTTGCTTTTTCAGACATAGCTTACCCGAACTCTGGAGTCTGAACTTTGAAATCTTTTTTAGACTTAGAAAAAGAAGTTTGAAGTCTTCTTTTTCAAACTTAGAAGTCTAAACTCTGAAGTCTTCTACAATTCTGAAGAGTACAAGTCTGAAGAGTCATTCTTCAGAGTTAGCTCACCCGAATTCTGAAGTTCTTTTTTCAGACTTAGCTCACTCAAACTCTGAAGTCTTTTTTTTTCAGACTTAGAAGTCTGAACTCTAATTTAATGGGATTGATTTTATACTTCAGAGTTATTTCAAGAGTACAAGTCTGAAGAGTCATTCTTCAGAGTTTTATTTCAGAGTTATTCCCAGAGTACAAGTATGAAGAGTCATTCTTCAGAGTTAGCTCACCCGAACTCTGTAGTCTTCTTTTCCAGACGGAGCACCATGCAGAGCCTCTGCATAGTGCATGCAGAGCTTCTGGCTAGCCTATACAGAGCTCATAAGTCTGAAAAGTTTTACTTCAGAGTAATTTCAAGAGTACAAGTCTTGTAATAAACTTATCTAGACTTTGAAGATAAGTCTTTAAGACTTAGACTTAGTCTTGTAAGCCAGAGCCCCTCTGATTGGTCCGACTTCTGGATGGCTTTGCTTCTTGTTGTTTATTTGAACCTTGGAAAAATATTCCAATCCATCATAAGGAACCGGAGGGGATTGGAATTCAAATTCTTTAAGTATTTAACATTTTTTTTAACCCGGGGGATCTGGTTGATCAGACAGAGGGCCTTTGGTTGGCCTTGCTTTTGGTTGGTGAGTCCACAGGGGCTCTGGTCCTTTAAGAACCAGAGGAGCTCTGGTTGGTCTTGCTCTGTATGATGCAAACTTTATCATGGGGTCTTTTTCAAAGATATTGGGTATCTGAATAACTCTGAACTCAAGGTCTTCGGACTTCGTCTTCATATTTGACACAGGCGCACTTCTAAGTTTAAATTCAATTTACTGATATAGTTTCATTTCTAAATTCAGTTTTATTCTAAGTTTAACTTCATTTTAACTAATTATTGATATAGTTTCATTTCTAAATTCAAGTCTGAATAGTCATTCTTCAGAGTTATTCTTCAGAGTTATACTTCAGAGTTATTTCAAGAGTACAAGTCTAAAGTCATTCTTCAGAGTTATACTTCAGAGTTATTTCAAGAGTACATGTTTGAAGAGTTGGCTCACCCGAACTCTGAAATCTGCTTTTCCAGACTTAGCTCACCCGAACTCTGGAGTCTGAACTCTGAAGTCCTCTATTTCAGACTTAGAAGTCTGAACTCTGAAGTCTTTTTTTAGACTTAGAAAAATAAGTCTGAAGTCTTCTTTTTCAGACTTAGAAGTCTGAACTCTGAAGTCTTCTACAAGTCTGAAGAGTACAATTCTGAAGAGTCATTCTTCAGAGTTAGCTCACCCGAATTTTGAAGTCTTCTTTTTCAGACTTAGCTCACCCGAAGTCTGAACTCTGAAGTCTTTTTTTTAAAACTTAGAATTCTGAACTCTGATTTAGTGGGATTGAATTTATACCTCAGAGTTATTTCAAGAGTACAAGTCTGAATAGTCATTCTTCAGAGTTAGCTCACCCGAACTCTGAAGTCTTCTTTTCCAGACGGAGCACCATGTAGAGCCTTTGCATAGTGCATATAGAGCTTCTAGTTTGCCTATACAGAGCTCTGAAGTCTGAAGAGTTTTACTTCAGAGTTATTTCAAGAGTACAAGTCTGAAGAGTCATTCTAAATTTACCTCTAAGTTTAAATTCAGTTTACTGATATGATATAGCTTCGTTTCTAAATTAAATTTTATTCTAGGGTTAACTTCATTTTAACAAATTATTGATATAGTTTCATTTCTAAATTCAAGTATGAAGAGTCATTTTTCAGAGTTATTTCAAGAGTACAAGTTTGAAGTAGCATCGGACTTTCGATGATCATTCATATCTGTAAGATAAGTTCCTAACATGATTTAATTTTTTCAAATTACCCCGTGTAATACACGGGATTGAACCTAGTATATATATATATATATATATAATTATCACTTTGTCTCCACTCACTATCTTGTCACTATGTTGTGTTCGTATATATACCGGAATCTGACAATGGCATACCAAAAATATATATTACATATCTACAGCACAGTGAACACAGGGGTATATGTGAATATGTATATATAGTGTTTATGTATATGTATATAGGGTATATATATTTTGTATATTAATGTATTGTATTATCGGCCTATGGGATTGTGTTTTATATGTTCATAATTTATATAAAATTTTATTTGTTTTCCGCCTTGTATATTTTATTTGTTTTTTGAATCCGGGTTACTTGTAACTCCTTGAGGCTTACACCTTACCTCGCCTCGCATTTCCATACTTTAAAACCTTGGAAACGCATGCAAACTCAGATAGTCAATATGAAGTACAAGATATGTCGTGTCGGTATATGCGGGAATCAAGAAATTGTGGATTGGACATAACAAGGATGACACAATCCACATGTCTTGTTCAAAAAGGACATCAAGGACAAATGACTTAAATTATACAATGGATATTATCATGAATTAATGATAGGTTTAATCAATTAATTCTCGTTATTTTGGTAGTGTTGATCTATGTTGTTAATTGCGGCACAATAGCGCCGCTATTGCGGCGATATCTCGGATAGCGGACATTAGCAAAATAACGGTGGTCAGATTTCGGTTTAAATTGCGGTAGCGCAATTTTGACCGATATTTAGGGTCAATTGTGTTTGATATTAACGTTACTTTTTGGGAGGGTTGGGCTTTATTTTCAGTCTCTGTCTTTAGATAATGAACAGAGAAGCAATGGGAGGTAATGAACAAGTTGGACCAAGTACAAGAAGTAAAAGGGAGCACTATAGGGATGATGATGATCACGTTGGAGATGAAGGGGGAGAAGGGGAAGAGTGGGAAGCTAGCCTAAATGAAGAAGTGAACATATTAGATGATGTTGACTCAGATACTGAACCTATTGTTTGCAATTAGCTCGTTTATGGACATTTTTCCTATTTTGAAAACGATATGTTTATGTAGGCATATTTATTTATATATATAATTATATATAATTCCAAGAAAGATTATATGAAACGCTATTTTTGGACCGCTATACCACCGCCATAACCGCTATTTCAAATATTGGTCCCAATCGCAATTTTGTATTTTCACCGCTATAACAGCATAGGTGTCGAAGTGTTGCAAATATGTTATACCCTATGTTATTAGTGGTACAAGTAGTTATTGCATATAGCATACAAGTAGGTATTGAATATGCCTAAGGGGGCGTTTATCAAACACTTACTTGGTAAGTGTTTAACGCATAAATTTCCTCATCGGATGAACATGAGAAGGGTCAAAAATCTTACCGGGTAAGAGCGATGAGAATGATAAAGAATCTTACCCGGTAAGTGAGGATGACGACTCTTACCCAGGTAAGCGCTTACCCAGTAAATTGTTGCATTCGATATGTTTTGATTACTAAAATCTTACGCATCAAAATAAATTATAGTGTTAACTCCTATTAGTAAGCGCTTACCGGGTAAGCATTTGGGTAAACGGCCCCTAAGTATAAATAAGTACAGATGGACGGGTAAGTGAGCATTCGATTTTGTAGACAATTTAGACTTGAGTCCTGTCAGAGTCTTTGACCTCTCAAAATCCAGAAAACCTTTTATTAATCATTCAACTGTGAGTAATACAGCCAAATATTAACATTGATTTTACTGTTTTCATCGGGTGTAAATCAAGATACCATTCATTACTTATGATAATAAATCTTATAATAACAAATGAGATACATTATTATCACCAACATAACAAGAACCCAAAGGGTCGCAAACTAAGAGCACTCTAGGATAAGAAAGTAATCAACCAAGGTGTTGTTTAATTGGGATTAATGAATATTTAATTAATGAGATTAGTTAATAAGTTACTAGTAGCCTAAAAGGTTTCAAAAGGGAAGAACCAAAGGCCTAAAAACCTTTAAGGAGAGGCTTATTTATAAGTAAGCCTCTCTCCTTCTCCCTTCATGACTCACAGCCAAAGTAAAAGCGGAGGTTTAGGGTTTATATGTTCTCTCTCCCAAAGTTGAAACTTTTTTTTGACGTCTACTCTTGTTTTCGATATGGAGGTGAATAGTGTACCTGAGTTTTGGCGTTCCTGGCATTTGATCATGATCTGGCTTTGGATTCGAGTTCGAATCTTTCAGTTCAACCTCTTCAACAATTTCAACGAGAGGTAAAACTACTAAACACCCCCATCCACATTGTTTTCTTTGTATCATTGGTGTGGGTATGGTTTTCAATCCATTAAGCTTAAGATCCAAAACCCAAACGCTTTTCTGCCCGAATATTAATTGATTTGAACACGTTTACACTTTTCTCAAACTTTTGTCGTGATTAATAAACTACTTTGTATGATTTAAAGTACATACTTCTAATATGATTCCGTCACAATATTCTTGGGTAGTTTTTTTCTGCCTTTCATTTCAAACGTGTATTATTCTTTGATGGGAGTTATATAATTTAATTTTTGAGTTTGCAACGCTTAGAAGTATGTATCTCCAAAGTAATGCAGTGATCACGATTTGACTTCATGTTCAAAACTCGCCTCACATAGTCTTGGAATATCAACTTTTGTTCCTAATTCGATTTACGACTTTTCTCCATTTCTTCAAATTGAAATGCATACCCTTTTCATGTTACTTGTCATTTATAGTATCGAGCTGCTTCCACTTTGTTAGGCTAGAGTGAACCCTATTCAACTTCAAATGGCACGAATTCTTTCAATTGTCAAATATAATATAGATACACACACAGTACATTAACCTATAACATAAGCCAATCCACATCGACTTTGAATGTTCGAAGCTATTCTAGGAACTGAGACTACAAGTACAAGAAATGACATAGAACATAGTTACCTGACATAATGAAATCAGTATAAGCGTTCTCTTGTTGAAGGTACGAAAGGAGTTCCGGATTGGAACGAGAATCATCACGAAGCCAGTAGTAATTATCAACCCTAACGTCTCCGAACATTTCCATTTCGTGCTTCACCTTCTTAGCCACAGGAGGCCGCAGATTACTGGAATTGGTTGCCGAATCAGTTGCAGCCATAGCTGATGTGGTGGAGAATGAGGAGCTGCAGCTTCTTCTTGTGCGGAATCGTAGAGACAAGCAAGGGAAACCGGAGGCAGAAGAGATCGATCCTCCAACACGCCGAACTCCGACTCTAATTTGGGCCAAGGGGAACACTAACATCGTGTTTTCAGCCTTTTATCTTTTTAATGGCAGGCAAACGTACAACTATTTATGCATTTGTGCGTTTTATATTTGAAAAATTAATAAATAAATATATATATACTAAAAGAATATTCGTACAATACAGCAAGACACATCTCGATTTTAATGTTCTATTTTATTATTTATCACTGTTGGTGTTATGATACGATTTTATGTGTTTTTAATAAAGCAATAATGATTTTATTTTTGAATAAAATATAAATTTGAAGATATCATAAAATTTTGAAAAAAATATATCAATGTTAATATCAAAATCAATTATTTAAAAGTTTTTATTTTTTAGGTAATTTCTTTAATTTATTTATTTTTATTTTAATTTAATTTAAGTTTAATAACGAAATGATTTATTTTTAATTTAATAATATAACATTTTATAAATATAATAATTAAGTATTTTGTCAGAACTCAATGATTATCCTAATTATATTTTAGATTTTTAATATTTAAAATGAGACGTTTATCCTGTATTTGATTATGTTCATCTGCAGTTAGTTATACGAATTCAGATATAAAGCTTTAATAAGTTGTACTTACGCACAATCTACTTGCAATCTTGAGTTTTAAGTAATATGCATTAATAAACAGTACTTTACGCATAAAAAATGGTTTTTATGAGTTTTTGTCAAATGCTTTATAATATAGTATAGATATATAAATTGAAAAGCATGAAAACATTTAGGTAGCATTTGGTACACAGTTGGACAGCACTGGACATGATAGAACTGGACAGACTAGACAGGACAATAGTTATAATTAATATAAATAAAGTAAATAATTAAAAATTTTAATTTATAAATATGTGTACATAATTTTCATATAAATGAATACATACATATATAATTGTGTCAAATTTGAATGAAAATTTTGATATAATTGATGGTAGTAGTGGTGGTGGAGGTGGTTTTGGTTATGGTGGAGGTGGTTGTGGCCGACGGTAGTAGTGGCAATGGGCGGTAGTGTTCGGTGCTCGACTGTGGTTATTGAGGTAGAGGCAGTGGTTGTTGTTGGACAACTGTGGTTATATAGATGACATGAAGATGGTGGATTATGGTGATGGTGGCAGTTGAGAACGATGGAGGAGGTAGTTGTGACTGGTGTAATGAAAGATAGTGGTGGTAGTGGAAGTGAGGTGGCAATGAATGGTGGTGGCTAATGATGGTTATGGAGGTCGTGGAGGAGGTTGTTGCAGTAGAGGAGGAGTTGGAGGTGGCCAACGATGGTGGTGGTGGTGGTAGTTGGTGGCCAATGGTGGTTGTAGAGATGGCAACTGACAGTGGTGGTCGATGACGACGATGGTTGTGAAGGTCATGAAGGAGGTTGTTGCGGTATAGGAGGATCTGGAGGTGGCCAACGCGGTAGTAGTGTTGGTGGTCGATGGCCGATGGTGGTTGTAACGGTGGCAATGGATGGTGGTGAAGGAGGTTTTTATAGTAGAAGAGGAGTTAGAGGTGGCGAATGGCGATAGTGGTGGTAGCAATGGACGGTAGTGGTCAGTGGTTGTGGAGGCGGTGAAAGATGTTGTAGTGGAAGAGGAGATGGAGGTGGAGGTGGCCGCCGGTAACTATCGGTGGAGGCAGTGGCCGAAACTAGCGACGATAACCATTAAAACAAATATCATATTAAGGTTATATATCAAAATAGTGTAGATTAGTAATATTTTAGTTTCTATCTTATTCTTGTCCCATTTTGTTCCACATATTTTGGTGAAACAAGAAAAAATCTTTTTTGTCTCATGTTGTCCCACATTGTCTCAATTCTTGTCCCTATCCTATGTCGGGGCAAACGTGGGACAGTGAGTTATTGTTTTGTCTCATGTTGCACCAAACGTGGGACAGTGAGTTCTTATTCTGTCTCATGTACAAAACGCAGTCTTACGGAGTTAATTTGGAAACTTATAATTTTATAAAAAATTTCTTTTAATATTTGAATTTGCTATTTTTTATTTTTGTGATCTAAAATAATTAAATATAATAAAAAAATTAAAGATAAAATATAAGGCAGTGTTTGGTACGTAAACAGTATTAACAGAACAAAGTTGGATAATACAAGTCGGTTATCTGGTGTTTGATACGATTAATGTTGGACGGAATAGAATTAAACAAGTTGCCCTTGAAAAAATTGTCTAATAATTTTATATACAATATAACAGTTATAAATGATACAACTCAAGTAAATAAGTTAAATAATTTAAATTTTTAATCATTTTATACAATTTTTATATACATAAATATATATATATATATATATATATATATATATATATGTGTGTGTGTGTGTTTTTCAAAAAGAAAATACATGCGTATATAATATAACCAAATCTAAATGAATACTATGGTATAATCGATGATAGTTAGGAAAAACTCAGCTTATGCAAAAGAACCCTATACTTTATTTGGTTTTAGATATCGACAATGGAGGTTGTTGCAGCAACAATGGTGGTTACAATGGTGGAAGTGTAGTGGTGATTGTGGCAGAGACATAAGTGGTTTTGGTGGAGGAGTAGGCGACGGTGGGCGGTAAACAATGGTGATTGTGGAGGACGTGAAAATGGTGGAAGAGTTGGTTGTGACCGATGTAGCGGTGGTTATGGTTGAGGTAGAGTTGATTATTATCTTTATAAAAAATATATTATTAAACCCAAAAAAATGAATTAAAGAAATACACAAAAAAAAACCGAAATAGTTAGTTTCGTACTAATATTAATATTTTTTTTCAATTTTTCATGATACTTCATATTTATATTGTATTCAAAAATAAAAACATTATTGCTTTCTTAAAACCATATTATAACATCACTTAAAATCTCCGTCCTATAGAGTCTTTTGGAGAAGCTCTTACCCGATCCATCCATTTTGTCTCCTTTAATTTTGAGCAACAAATCATATATTTTATTAGGTGTGTCAATTTTGTGCCGTGACAAATCAACCAATTATTATATGAACCGTACAATTTAACTGGTATCAACTGACCTAATTGGTTGGTAGTATCATATCAACTATCTAAACTTGATTGGTATGTGGTATTAGAAGTCGTATACCATGGTAATATTGTACCGTACCGACTTATTTTTTAATTATTCATTAATTAAAGTTTAGAATGATACAACATATTTTGAATTTAAAATTTAGATGTTCTTATTTTAATTTTTGTTAAATTATGATATGCATGATTAGATAGATCATAGATAGAATTTGACTCACATTCGTCAAACTCTAACAATCTTGGTAACTCATCCATACCTCAACGGTCTGTTGTCGCTTCTCAATGGCCTTTTGTATTACATTATTAACGACTGGTTTGCATTATATGAAAATTATTTAAATGCATGTATATGTAGTGACAAGTGGTACAACAAAATAACAAAATATCAACATGTTATGTGGATATTCAATGGTTTTAGTGCAGCTAAATCTAGTTGGTAAAGATGTCAATATAAATACATTTGTAAATTCATCTTTTAGTTGGTACAAAACCGTACCAACATGTACCAACTGAAAAAAGTTGGTACTAATGGAGTGATAGAGCTAATCTGCTTGCTTGTGCCCTAAGATAATCCACCCGATCTTTCCCCAACAGGAGGGCGAGGGGAGGTGAGCGGAGTGAGAGAGGCCCTCGTAATACGGTCTGTGTTAAGCAAGGAAGTCAGGGTTAGTGGTAAGGTTGGAGGCAAGGGTCCAAAGGCCGGGAACAAGCCTCGGGCATTTGACAAACTCACACCATCCATTTCAAATGGAAAGCACCTTGAAGGGAGTTTCCAGCGTGAATGATCCAATCCAGCTACTAATTCGGTGGTACCCAGTATAGTTGGTTGGTACATGGTATAAGATTTTACGTACCAACTATGATTAGTTAGTACACAATATTTGAAAAAAAAAATATGGTACCGTACCATATTCACCTCTATATTTTACAATATAAAGGGCAGACCTATTTAGAACAAGGGGGTCATGAAGGTGTTGTTGATCCTAAACAAATGATCCATTCAATTGATTCTATTGATCCTAAGAATGGTTTTTTGAAACAAAACTGAACAAATAGATCCATGTTTAAAGTTTGAACCATATCGATATATCTGAATAATGATCAGTCTCAGCTCTTAAGGTTCATAATGAATCAACAAGTCATCTCTTTTGTTTGTTTTTTCCAATCCAACTTTTCTGGCAATTAACAACTGAAAATTATAGCCTACATAACACGTTTAACAAGAAAAAAAATGGTTATCGGGTCAAACTAATTACTCTACTTTGATATTAGCAACCAAGTCCCTCCCTTCCTTGTCCATGAATGATGAACCCAACCATCAATGCTCACTCCCAAAATTAGAGAAAAAGAACCTGTTTCAATGTTTATCATTCCTGTCTCAGAAAAAGAAACAAATCCATGTACATTTGTGATTCCCTGTTAATACCCATGTTTAAATGGAATAGGTATATATACGAGATATATATCAGTTTTGGCTCTCTCTCGAAATCTGAACACTTTTAATATTCTCTAGTAATTAGCTTTCGTTTTTGTGCCTAAATTCGAAAGTATTCGTAAGAATTATCTTAGATTATATTTCATGATACCTAGGCATAGGGTCGAAATATCAATTTGGAAAGTGACTTGATACGATCCTTAAGCAATCCATATTCCGATTACCATATACCATGTTTTCTATAGTCCTAAGTTTCATCAAGCATCTCATCTGCCTAGGTTTAGATTGCATGCGTACACAATAATTGTGGCCACTAAGTTTATTAGAGTTGATTTCTTGCAGTCACAATTTTTTGGGACTAGTCTAGGCATAGCATGTAACACCCTTCCAAAAAAAGATATGTATCAGGGACATTGGCGAGAGGCTCAATATAGTATATGTATCAGGGACATTGGCGAGAGGCTCAGTGCCTGTATCAGCAACACCGGCGAGAGACTCAGTGTCTGTATCAGCGACGCCTGCGAGAGGCGGGTCGCCGATTACCACTA